CACTGAAACCCGTGCAGGATGAGAAACGGACCCCCCTCAGAGCTCAAAGATGCCCTCTGCAATACACGAGCGTTAACTAGTAGCAAATTGTGCGTGCTATAAGTGATTACAGATTGTGGGGAAATGTTAAGATTGTGGGGAGTGTTAACAAGGAACTTTCCTCATCGGCTGGCCACAATTCATAGTAGTTACTCAGTATTTTGCCACGCTTCTGAATGAAAGTTGATGCGAGTGGATGCTTGGCGCAATCATAAGCTCTCCACAAGCTGAAGGTAGTGGGCACGATTGCTGTGGGCGGGCGGTTGTTGCCAACGTCATTTGTGGAGGGGCTCAAAGGGTTGTGGCCATACACCTCCCATAGCCTCATGATACTCCATGTTCGACTGTCCATGAACCTTGGACATCGTGTGTGGTCTTGTCTTCAAGTGATTTCTTGTAGCCACAACCAAGGTGTTAAATCACTTTATTGGGCTTACGTTTCGGCTAGTCGCCTTCGTCAGAGCCTGGAAGTTGAAGATCAGTGACTCAATCTCCATAAATTTCTTCAATGATTTATGAGGATTGAATCACTGATCTTCAACTTCCAGGCTCTGACGAAGGCGACTAGCCGAAACGTTAGCCCAATAAAGTGATTTAAACCTTGGTTGTGGCTACAATTGAAGAGAAGACCTCCCGTAGCCTTCCCATCAATGACTCTGGCAACAACTGGTCGCCTATAGAATCGTGTCCCTGCCTTTAGGCATGAAGGGAGTAGTAGCTTGTCAAGTCGCTAGATGTTTCCTTTTTTATGCTTTTCATAATGTGAACCTATAAGCTGTGGTGTTTGCGATCGAGACCATACCCTCTCCGTACTATACAAAAAAATGTGATAATTCCTTCAAAATTCGTCACCCCAAATTTTAAAGTTGTTCTATAGTCACTAGGAAATGAGAATGCCAGCTGAGGGCTTCCTAGCTTAGCTGGTTGTCAGCGAAGTCATGGATCGCATTTGGCGCTTTTCCACGCGCTGGCGTACATAGAGCAAGTAGAGATGATGAAAAATGCGATAAATGTTAAAGGCAGTTGGCACGATAAATCTCTAAGACGAGTAGGATTAATACGCCTGGCAGGACGGAATTCCGCGACCCTGAGCAGGCGCTGCGTAGCGCCTTCCAAGGAAGGTACCCTTATAAGGGCCCTATCAAGCTACAACATACCGACCCGAACGCCCACCACGCCCGCCCGCCCACAAATGGACGACCGTACCTGGTGCTCGTATTGCTTCATTTGCGAAGTAAATATAAGAGGGTGTTGAAGCGGCTGGGGTGCTGCATGGACATATGAGCACACACATGCCGCCGTATCTACTTTAGCGTTTATTGGCAAGATGCTTACGGGAAACTCGTCCGAAATGGCTTTTTGAATCACTAGAACGAAAGACTTTTCACTGCACGATTTTTTACCGTTTTCACTCCATTTTTTTCGCCATTTTTCCACTACATAGCGTCCGTCCAGGCCTTTCAGGCCGAGGACCAGATTATCGTGGCTAACTGCCCTTTAAGCAAAAAAATCCATAACAGCGAACGATTGTCATTGCGTCTAGGTAAAGAAATTCATTGTCATATGTCAGGGAGAAGCACCCTGCACAGTTCGACCGGACTTGCCTATCTTGCGTTTGTTGCCAATAAAGATACACTGAAAGAACGGAAAGATTACAAGAGATTGCCGCAGTTGCTCTCGCGGATGTGAAGGTCAGTCAGTGCAAATATCTTCTACTGTAGATGCAAAAATTGTAAGGTCGATCAGGTCATCTGAGATCCGCCATGCCTATGAAGGCACAGTTTTCTCAACATGCAAGCAACGAGGGTTCAAGAAAAGAAGTAGTAGCTGACTTAGTAATGAGCAACACGTCAAGGAGAAGCCGTCCTAGACAGGTCGTTCTTCCTGGTGTTATCATGATCACTGGGCTAGCGTAAGGTGGAAAGATCAACAGGAAGAGATGAGACGGTATGTTCAAAAGCCACGAGACGGTGGAAGGGCACCTTGGATATTACCACGGCGACACAGGCAATGCCGAGATTGGCCTCTTGGGTGGTCATGGCCCTAAAGGCCAAGCTTATGGCGCTTTTTCCGCGACTGCTGAACCTCAAGTTTGGAACACAATGAATTACAGCCCGAATCATTTTAGTACAGTCAAAGCGATTCTACCACTACAGTATGAGCAACCATGCTTTAATATTCTTGCACTCAAGTGCGCTCTGAGGACGGTACATGAACGAATTTCTTACTCTTTTGTGAGGCTGAGTTGATAAGATAGTCCCTGCACATGAGTCATGTCTCGGATTGACCAAACATCTTATGCGAATTTCGGGGCACCCCATTAAGACACCGCGTTGTGTGGCTAAAAGACACGATCTGCGTTGTCGTTTTGAGAAACAAAGCAAATAATTATTCCTTGCCAAAACAGGGCTTCCATCGGGGGGGGGGGATGCCAAATTATACGCATTACGCCGCGCCGAGAAAGGACACGAGAACGCATGTTGCGAGCAGATCAGCACAGACGTAGCCAAACTAGATAATCCATTCTCTTTTCCAACGACTTCACGATTCTGAAAGGACGCTGCCAAAGTGTTCATGCGAAGGAGCACGTGCTTTCTATCTTGAAATGTGGACCGTTTCCAGCAGTAAATTAACTATATCAAATAATCCTGTTTTAAGATCGCTTATGCGGACTGTTCCCAGTTCATGGAGGTTTGTCAAGATCTGCTGGACATCAGGAAACTTCCACAATTCGTCACTTTCAAAACAACAGGCGGTTATGAAATCGATTACGGTAATAATTTTGCTTCATGATTCTGAGAGCTTAATCAATATAGAGCGATTTCAGTGAACAAACCGTCCTATCACGACGTCAGTGCTTTTATCAAGGAGTCACTTGCTTCACCGTTGCATGTTCTTAGCGTCGAGGAGTATGATTCAGCGTTGAGAAGCGGAGAGTTATGGATCATAGACTACTTCGCACCGGTAGGTAATTAGGGTATTTGTACGGATGGTGATCTGGCAATCTTCCATATATTCATATTCATCTCTGTTTACCTTATGGTAATGTTCAACTAGAAAATGAGGCTATATGCAACCACTTCCGAGCGGCTGTTCAGAGCAGCCAGACAATGGGGTGGACAATGTGGGGGGGGCAGCCGAGCGATGTCCCTGCGACACAGAGCTGGAAAGCTTCCGTTAAGTTTTTCGCACAAGAGTCCGGCATAATGTAGGCCCTTTCATAGTCTTGGAAGAGATAAGTGATACTGTATAGAGTCAGAACTCGACCAAAGTTGTAGCATAAAGATATCGAATAGAAGTCCTCAAAGGCAGCTGGCACGATAATTTCATGTACACTTTGAAAAAGAGCAAAGTGCCCAGTAATGCAAAAATAGTGAAAAAACGGGGCGAAATGGTGGGGAAACCACGAAATGGGGGCTTTATTTCTTCGCTGCACTGCGGCAGTGGACGAGCGAACGGCTGGGCGGGCGCTGCTTTGGACGAGTCTACCGATTGAACGTTTACTGCTGGCAAAAAGCCAGCAGTACGTTCTACGTCGCTCTACGTTACACTACATTACACGTAGGCACGGGCGGTCCACAACGGCACGTCCTCGTGCTGTGATGCTATACGTCCAATGGTAGGTGGGCGGGCGAGGTGAGCCGCCCGCCTACCATTGGACGGGTCGGTATGTTGTTGCTCAATAGAGCGCTATAAGGGTACCTTCCTTGGAAAAGGCGCTACGCAGCGCCTGTTCAGGGTCACGGAATTCTGCCATGCCAGTCGTATTAATCCTACTCGTCTTTAGGGATTTATCGTGCCAACTGCCTTTAACCGCACAAAGGTGCACTCTGGAAAGGGGCACAGTCTACACTGGTCGTAAAGGCATAGTGAGGCTTAACTTTGTGTTGGCCGCCTCTCCTCTGTCGTCTTGGAGAGTAGGCGAGCGCTAATGGTGAAGGAACAAGGAACAAATGGCCTGACTCCTCCCATACGACCAGCATGGACTGAGCCTTCAAACGCTGACACTATGTCTGTCTAGTGGTGGGACACCTGACACCGCCCGGCCTCTTTGCTTAGCATCTCCGATGGAGCCACTCCGTCTAATAACAAACCGTTCAATAATATGGTATGGTCCACAAAGTGGTCTAAGACGCCGAGTCGATAATCCTGGCTTCCTTTACTGGGGATCTCTGGGCGGTGCGGATGATCGGCACGCATGAATCCTTATGTTCATAAGTACAGTTTTTTGCACGTGGTGTTCACATATGGCCAACGACTGATTTCGAATATCGCCAACTACGAGCTTCAATTATCGACGCAGAATGATGAATGTCGTGTTCGAAAGATTAAATTGGTCTCGTGGCTCTGCGTTAACACACAAAGTGTCTGGAAAAAGCTGGAGTGCAGGAGGCCTACTTTTCTTTGTAGGATATTTGAGCGGCTATTATTATTCAGCCTCAGTAACAAAGATTGGAGGAAGGTTACTGTCCTATCGCTCTACCACCATGTGCACTCCGATGGAGATGTCAGTGTTCTCACCTAGCCAGGGGATCCGAGCCACCTTTTTTGTGAATTGTGGATGACTGGAAGATGGATTTTTCAATTGACTTGGAAGACCCTTTACCAATTTTATAGCTCTCTAAATCTGGTCTCTTAACCTCACGCGGTACCTAACGGTCGAAAGCGCTCCGCATGCTACCAATTATTCGTCGCTCGTTCACTTGCGACCAAATTGCTGGCCATGATGTTGACATGTGCCCGCGCCCGCTCGCAGTCCGCAAGGGAGCAAGACTCGACTAATTGGGGATTATGTTTTCGCTTTCACTGTAATTTCCAGTGACATATCGGTATCAGCCATCACTGGCTACCATTGAGGAAGGCAAATTTGGCTCACCTGTTCGAGTCCAAATCCCGGGTAGTACCGTTCCTTCACAGCCTCTGTACTACTTGCTTCGCTTGCAAAGATACATAGTTAATTTTGCGATCAGATATTAGAACAAGTAAAAGCCTTCTTATGTTTCAGTTATCCTACAAGTGCTCTGCACACGCCCGATAATCGTGTTCACAAATTTGTTGGTTACCAGTCCGTGCAATCAGTACTGGAACACATTAATGTGAGTTCCAGATTCTAACCGATTTCAGTTCTTGAACTCTAAAATACAGGACCTTTCCCCTCATTGTAGGTCGAAACATACTACTCAATGGAACCTTTCAGAATGCCTCTCAATCCGGCCGTAGACGAACTGACGCCAGAAGATTTCAAACGTTTGGTTGAAAATCGTGAAGACGACGTTACATGGGTGGTAGATTTCTTTGCACCATGGTGTGGACCCTGTCAACAGGTAGGTAGCGCCTTATTATAGCGCCTCAACTTATAGCGCCTTGAAAGTCGAGAAAGAAAAGTGCCTTTTTTATTGCTCCCCCCTGTATGAACTGTACGCTGGTGTCTGAAAAGACGCAAATCCGCAATTGTGTCAGCTTGTTGGGAGCAGCCAAACTTGTAGGAATTGAAGTGGAGACAAGGCTCCTCTGTAACCAATATCAAATTTTTCCGTCCCTTGCAACAACTAAGCCAAGCACTATAAGCAGAAAAACTCGTCCGGCGTGGCGTGGTGCGGCGTCGCTCGCCACGCCCGCGTGCACGTCATATTACGATTGTCTTGTCACATACCCTCGCGTCAGAACAATCAACTGATTTCAGCTTGCCCCCGAACTTCACCGAGCCGCACGACGGCTTCGAAAATACGACGAAAGAGTTCACATAGGATCTGTCGATTGCCAAGCGTACAGCACGTTCTGTACCCAACAGTCCGTGTCGTCTTATCCATCCATTCGTCTCTATCCAGCACTAGGCAAGCG